GCTGTTCTAATTGTGTCGTCTCTTCGCTTCCTGTTGCTTCGTTGTCCTAATCTTTCCAACCCTCCAACCCTCCAATTTCATCCCGGTTAAGACATGATCTTACTCTTTCCGTTTCTTTCCTAGCGCCGGCTAGCATTCTTGCCGTCCACATTCAGCTTCTGAATTTGTCTCCAACTCTCCATGCAGCTTGCAACCTAAATGTGCAGAAACAGGTACTTACCTTCGGTACGCAACACCAAGCTTTTCAGTTGAACGGCCGATTAAAGATCAAACTTGAAGGCTTAAGTTATTTTCAAATTGTGTCAGATCAGCTTCCTTTTCAGGCCCTTCTATGCTACACAGGGTCCTGATGAACCTACACAGCTTCTGCTGTATGGCTAGGTATGGACAAGCGTCTTCCCACGGAAATAATCCTCAATGACCTTCGCCGTCAAATCAACAATTTCCTCCACAACGTCAGCGGTCACATTGTAGGCTGGACACAGTAGCACGTGGTCACCCGACTTCCCATCCACCGTGCCGGTTCCAGGGTAGATCGAAATATTATACTTCGGTTCCATACCTGCAGCCTTGTTAGCTGGTCTCCATATGACACGCCTGCCGATGCAGCGTACCTTTCTGATGAACTCCCATCGCCACAGCATCTCCGGGATAAAACGGCTTCTTGGTCTTCTTGTCTTGCACAAATTCGATCTTTTTGCGTCAGCTCAAGCCCTGTTGCAGGGTTATATTACTCACCCCCCAAAACAAACCCTTCCCTCGAATATCACCCACATACTCGTGCCCAGCCAACCTTGACTTCAGCAATTTTTCCATCAGAACCCCCATCTCCTGTACATTCTCAACCAGCTTCTCTTCTCTAACAATCCGCTGCACCTCCAGCGCCGCCGCACAAGCCATCGGATGACCTTGATAGGTCTGGCCATGCGCAAAAGCCCCGGTCCCCTGCCTCAGCACCTCAATCACACGCTTGTTGACGAGCAGACCGGCCACGGGCGCATAACCACCTCCAAGTCCCTTACCGATCGTTTGAACGTCTGGGACGACATCCAGATCTTGCCAGGCGTGCAGAGTACCCGAACGTCCCATACCGGACATGATCTCATCCAAGATGAGGAGGATGTGGTGCTTGTCGCAGATTTCTCGTATTTTGGGGAAATACCCCCTGGGAGAGGGCACGCAGCCGAGTGCCTGGCTTCTGTCAGCAATTTCGAACGGATTACTTCGAGGCTGCTCGTCAGCAGAAGCCGTGTTGGAATACTGACAGCTCCGACAATTGGCTCTGCGACGAACACGCAAACATTTTCGGGTCCTACACGCTCAATCGTTTCTTCGAGTTCTTGCGCCAGTCGATCTGCATACTCCTCCTCCAACTCCCCATCGGCCATCCCACGATAGAAGTATGCTGGAGAGACGAACTCGGTGTTCGTCGCCAGAAGCGGCTCAAATGCGGCACGTCGTCCTACATGGCCTCCAAGCCCCAAAGCACCGAGCGTAGTGCCGTGGTAGGATTGTTTTCTTGCGATGAACAAAGTGCGGCTCGGTTGAGGCGGGGACAGCTCGAGGAAGTATTGGCGAGCAAGCTTCATAGCCGCTTCGATTGCCTCAGAGCCTGGAGAGTACAGTAAGTCAGTGCCAGATAACCTGAAGTTCCCCCGGCACCCCATCCCGGCACCCCATTCGAACTGGATAGAATACGAGGTCACGGGTGAAACGCACCACTGGAGACGATAAAAGCTTTCTCCATCTTCCCTTCCGTCCCCCTGATCAACTCCGCCGCCAACTCGTCCGCAGCCGAAGTACTATAGAAGAGAGAGTGGCAGTACGAGACAACGTCCATCTGCTTCGCAAGGGCAGCTTTCACGCGGGCGTTGCCATGACCCAGGCAAGCTACGGCAGCCCCGGTCGTAGCGTCGAGGATGCGTTGGCCATTGGAGAGCTCGAGGTAGTTTCCCAATGCTTTGGTTACCGTGAGAGGAGGGGCGGATAAGGAGCGGTGGAGGAGGTGGGATGGGTCTCCTGAAGACGAAGTTTTGGGAGGATTAGATTCGAGGGCTGATTCACTGGGCTCCATGGTGAGGACTGGATTCCGAACCAGAAGTCTCCTTTGTGGCAGCTGGTGTGGACAGCGGGGGAACCAAAACACTTGGTTGTCTGGAAAATACTGGATGGATCCAGAGTGGAGGAAAGTCGATGATCAAATCGTGAGACTACGATTGGAAGCAACTTATATATACGTCCAGCAAACGATGAGATGTGTATTAGCAACAGATCTGTGACTCAATTGACTGCATTCAGGTATTCAATCCTCTCCCCAATGGTTCGTTTAGATCAGATCAGGGACTTGATGCTAAGATCCAGTATCTGCAAGTTCGGCATGCCGTTGAACAATGTGAGCGGGCCGAACGGCAACGAGATCGGGAGCGGATCGAGGAATAGGAGATTTTGAGCTATAGTATACCTCCGAGATAGACTTTGAAGCTATTCAAGGATATATGAGATGGATAAACTTTATGGTCTGGTGGGCAACGGTTTCTATAGTGACGCTTGCAAATTCATGTCTGCAGATAAGGGATGTGTAAACTAGAAAAGCAACCAAAAGCCTGAAGATGCATGACTACTCCCACAGTCCCCAATACTCCCGTCGCTGCCAGGCAATTACAGAGTTACAAAACGGTTGTCAAAGTTTGTTCCGAATCGAAACAGTTGATGCAAAGTGCACGAGTTGTGCACCCGTGCACAAATGATGCCTTGACTTCCCAATTCGGCCAGGCGAAGAGGCCGGCCATCGACGGTCTCGAGGCGGCGTGGACTCCCGAAAGACAAGCACAGCTGGCCGCCCTGCATCATCATCATGTCGACGACGGAAAACGCGACCCTTGCCTGCAGCAGCCGCTCCTCCACCACGACCTTCATCGCGCCGAATGACTGAAACCCTTCGACTCTGATATCAAAAAGCTGAACATCAACAGCAACACCATGGCGTCAGCGCTAGACAACATCGACAGCGAACTCTCCAAACTCGACCCCGACGTCCCGTTTCGCGCAACCCGTACACACACTCACCACACGTGGGCGAAGACCTTCTATTCGCACCCGTCGCTGTATATTCGTCCGCATACGCTGCCCGAGATCCAGAAGGCGGTCACGCTTGCGCGAAGATGTCGGCGAAGATTGGTGGTGGTGGGGTGCGGGCACTCGCCCAGCGATCTGACCTGTACGAGCGCGTGGATGATGAATCTGGACCGGTTTGACAATGTGCTGCGTGTGGACAAGGCGAGCAGGACTATGACGGTGGAAGGCGGGATTCGGTTAAGAGATATGAATCTGAAGGCGAAGGAGCATGGGCTTACGATGCCGAATCTGGGGAGCATAGATCAACAGTCAATCGTCGGCGCGTTGGCGACTGCTACACATGGGAGCGCAATAGGACATGGTCTTCTCTCGAAATCTGTGCGGTCTCTACGGATAGTTCTTGCGAACGGACGTGCCGTGAGATGCTCGAACGAACAGTCCCAGGACCTCTTCCGCGCAGCTCTGGTATCCTTAGGCGCATTGGGCGTAATAGTGGAGGTGGAGTTCGAAATGGTCCAGGCAACCAACATCGAATGGACGCAGACCCTCCGACCCCTTTCCTTCGTGCTTGACAACTGGGAGAAGGATCTTTGGACAGCAGCGGAGTATACACGGGTCTGGTGGCTCCCATACACATCCCGCGCCATTGTTTGGTCCGCCGAGAAGACTTCGAGTCCACCACGACAAGCAACAACGAGCTGGTACGGGGGTAGTATGGGTTTTCACACTTACCACGTTCTTCTTTGGCTCGCAAACTACGTCCCGCGCCTACTCCCTGCCATAGAATGGTTCGTGTTCGGCATGCAATACGGCTTCAAACTCGCCACCTCCACCAGCGCAATAGAAGAGCAACGCTCCGGCCTCCTAATGAATTGCCTCTACAGCCAATTCGTCAACGAATGGGCGTTCCCCCTCCACAAAGGCCCCGAAGCCATCATGCGGTTGCAATCCTGGATCAATGGCGACGCAGCCGCAGCAAACATCCCCGTCTCTCCCAAGGGCGTATGGGTCCACGCACCCATCGAAGTCCGCGTCTCCGACACCTCTTCCACCACTCCACGTCCCTTTCTCGATCCTTCGTTCCCGGATGGCCCTACTCTGTACCTCAACGCGACACTCTACCGCCCCTACGGCCTCGATCCGCCCTGCGTCACCCGCTACTACGAAGCTTTCGAGCACCTCATGAAGGAGCTGGGCGCGCGGCCGCACTGGGCCAAGAACTTCTCCACCGTCTCCAAGGCAGAGGTCAAGGACATGTACGGCGAGAGCCTTACCCGCTGGCTCCGCGTCCGCGACAGTGTCGACCCCGAGGGCATGTTCGTCGGCGACTGGCACAGACGCTACATCATGCCCGCCACCACAGGTCGACTACCACTTGAAGAAAAGGAGGTCGGCCGCGTGAGGAGGAGTGGTGGCGGAATCGTCTGGGTGGGCGAGATGGAGACGAGGGCCGAGAAGAGCGGGTGGGCGAGTGGCAGCTCGGAGAGCAGTTTCGATCAGTTGAATGAGGCGGAGACGGAGGCGAGTGTGCTGTTGAGGGAGATTGAGGGGAGTGAGGGCGAGATTGGATTTTCGGACGATGAGGAGGTTGGGGCGCAGGTTGTGGAGGGGGCGATTAGGGGTGTCACTGGGGTGAGGGTCTTTGATAGGATGTGATTACAGGTAGTTGAAATAAAAAGAAATTTGATCTAGTAGAATGATGATGTGTTCTCTGTTTATCTTGATATGCGTCCTCCTAGTATTTATTACCAGACGAGGTATCTGGCGATTTGCACTCTCTCGAATTCCTGTGAGCGTCTCAAACTCCCGTCCTCCCTGCAACCTTCGCAAACCCAGCCCACCGCCCCTCGAAACCACAAAAATAGGCCACATCAAATCTTTTCCATCCACACCCATCTCAGTCCTCGGAAATGACAAAAAGAAAGCGACCAGCACGGGATTCGAACCCGCAGCCTTCAGTGGTAATCAGCAGTGTAACCGAAAACTGACGCGCTACCATTGCGCCAACCGGCCATACAGTTATCGATAAGAGAAATTAACGTGGTTATATTCTGTGGGCCAAAATGCGGTCGATGGACCTGGAGAGGGAATGTGTTGCGGGTGACGACTCTTTAAAAGTTGAAGAGCTGTTGGAGTACTCTGTTGGATACCGGGATCCCGAGGAACTCCGGCTGTTCTGTGGTAAGATCTGGTGGGCGAAGACACTGGGGCATGGGTTGGAAGGCGCTTTCGGTCACGCAACTTGCTGATATCGTGAAGAGTAATCATTTGGATGCAGTGTATAAATATCGGTTTTGCCCCACCCAAATCCTGAATTGCTTGACGTTATCGTCTGAATCTATGTAGGAGAAACGCCTAAGTCATCGTAAAGATTCCTTTTTTTTTTATGCTGTGTTGCCGCGAGTTCATGAAGATGTTCCTTCTCTTCTCCCAGTCGAATCGATATATCCTATGGTTTCTGTTATAAAGCGTTTTTCAATATCGAAGTACTCTCCTTTTCCAAGGCACTCTAATGAGAGCCTCCACTCAATTTTCGAAAGCGGTTCGAGTGTTTGTAGACAACTACGGACTGGATGGAGTAGCTGCCCTGGCTGTCGTTCTAAGAAGCTAACAGCGGAGTTAAGATGGGCCATTCTCCGAAATAAATGACGGAACGCCCTCCGCATATTTACAAATTATGTCTGCCTTACTTCGTCCTTTCATCTGAGCGCATAACTCTCATGATCTCCTTTTACTACACTTCATTTCATGTCCATCAAGTCCAAAGGCCTGAAAACCGCAATTACAACCTATAAAAGCTCCTTCACGAGATCACATCTGCCAACCAAGCACCCCAATCCTCCTTCAGCTCTCAATCAATCTCCCTTGAAATCCCCAGTAATAAACCTCCAAAAACACAACAATTCCACAACCCCCAAGACCCGCTCCAAAACCATCTCCACAATGTCCCCCCCAACCTACGAACTCCTCTACCACCCCAGCATCCCCGGCCGCGGCGAATACATCCGCCTCTTCCTCGAAGCAACATCGACCCCCTACACCGACGTCGGCCAATCTTCCTACGACGAAGTACGCTCCATCTGCTGTTCGCCCTCCTCGCTCCACGACGCCGCCGGAAATCCGCCGCCGTTCGCGCCGCCAGCGCTGAGGGTGAAAGGGGAAGGCAAGAATGGCGGGGATTTGGTCATCAGTCAGACGGGGAATGTGTTGATGTATTTGGCGGAGAGGACGGGGGAGCTTTGTGGGGATGGAGGGGGGCAGGAGAGGTGGTGGGTGCAGGGGTTGGCGATGACGGCGTTGGATCTCAGTAATGAGACGCATGATACGCATCATCCTGTTGCGGTGATGGATTATTATGAAGGTGAGTGGTAGCATTTTCAGGGCCTCTTTGGGATTTTCTGGCTTGCTTCAATTTGGATCAGCCGGAAAGGATCATGGAGAAGTTACTTTCGTTCATATCACATGTCTTTTATACTCTATTTCTTTCTGATGTTAGCTGCAAGTTACAGTCCTCGAGACGACGCTCACTCTCTGGCCCCTTTCCAGATCAAAAGGAAGAATCTCTTCGCAAAGCCAAAGACTTCCGCGCGAACCGCATCCCCAAGTTCTTCGGCTACTTCGAGCGAGTTCTCAAAGGCAACGAAAAAGAAGGCAAGGGAAAGTATCTCGTAGGATCAAAGCTGACCTATGCGGATACGACTATCTGGCATGTTCTCGATGGGTGAGTACCCTCTATTTGGAGAACCGTCCCTTTACTCGAGGAATTCGATATGCTGACGCCTAACTCCAGACTGCTCTTCGCATACCCCAAGGAACTCGCTGCGAGAAAGAAAGATTATCCTATCTTGCTGGATACGTTCTACAAGGGCATCAAGGAGGAGAAAGGAATCAAAGAGTACCTGGAGAGTGGACGGCGATTCCCATTTTCCATGGGCTTGTTCAGGAAATATCCAGAGCTGGACCGACAGTAAGGGAAATAGATACGACTATTGCTATACGGAGTTGGAATGACCGGTTGGCTGTCATCGAAGATTGCTGCGATATCCGAAAATTCGGATATAGCGCTTCGATGAGAAAAACGACCTTACATTATGACATTTCATTGTTCTTATAGCTGAACGGCAAAGTTCTTTTCGTAGGCTGTTTGAGGCGCTGAAAGGACTCGAAAGCAAATGCAAACACCACATCGAAAACTATAATAAGTTTTAGAGGATTGCGGGGTGCATACGGAGTATGCGCATTGCTTCTTCGATCGCAACACCGGAAGCTCGAGTGGATGAGGGGCAACGAGATCAAAGTCACGATTAATTGCACTTACTCAAGCTTGATTTTCCATCACGATGCGACGAGCTAAGGACGTCAGTTCCACGTACCTTCCATGAGGGGGAATCAACGTTGCCAAGCTATGACGCAAGGAGCAAGTCAACAAACAACCCGAGAGCTGCTCTACAACTTCAGCTCCAGCTCTAGTTCACTGCAATTCGTCAATTGACCCATTATATCCACACAAAGCTCCATTCAAACTGACATCTCCATCAAGATGAGTCAAGGAATGTTCTACCACGAGCGCATCCCGGCCTCTATCCGCGTCGTCCAGGCCCTCGGGATCACGATGGCAGCTTTTGTTGCAGGTATGTAGTAGACCTAGATTGCTTCGGAGGTAATCCACCTACATGAGTTCTTCGACGCTGACGTTTCTCAAGGAGAAACTGCCGCGACAACACTGGCCTTTGTACCAGCGATCCTGGATGCCCCGGCACCTCTGGCCGTGAGTTACCTATTCGCCGACAAGGACGATCCTTGGAATTAATAGTTATAGGCCAGACAATGGAAGAAGACTGTCGAGAGAGGCTCAACCGGAGGCCTGATTGCGCTTGCAGCTGGCGTTAGCTTCGGCGCAATGGCATATCTTGGTAGGTAGACTATGGGCTGATTATCTTGCTGTATCATGTATGAGACCTGAAGGCTGACAAGGCTGAATCACAGAGAAACCATCTACATCTGCATTCAAGTTCTTTACGGCTGCCGCGGTTCTCTCCCCTACCATCATTCCATTCAGCCTCCTCGTCATGGGTCCTGTCAACGACAAGCTTTTCAAGAAGGCTGATTCTCTCGCGAATACGGCCATCACGGATTCTGCTGCCGAGTCTGGTGTTGCCAAAGAAGAGACTGTCCATGGCTTGATTGACAAGTGGGCGACTTTGAATCTGGGAAACGCTGCTCTCACGTTTGCGTCTGCTGTGTGTGCAGCGTGGGCAGTGCTTAACCCGGTCGAAGTCGTGGGTCTGCAAGGGCTGGGTCTTTCCTCCGGAGCGAACAGGATGTAAAGAGCTCTGGGAATACTGAGATGCATCGAGAGTCCAAATGGAATCCAAATATGGAGTAGACTTATAGTCTGAACTACCCAAACCAGATTTCGCATGAAAGGCGAGGCTCGTAGCCAGACAGTAAAATAGATTATATCGAACGCAGAACCGAGGGTGTGGACTACCCGACCGGTTACCAGTGTATTATTGTACATTGCACTGTATGTTCGCTGTCGAAAGAACCAACAATGGGGATGAACAATCATCGTGTCTTGCAGTATGAAGTCACAGGCGCGTGTGGTATGAGGTCGCCTGTGACATTAGCATCTCTGATTCTCCACTGAATGGCAACGGGAAGGATATCATGCCTTCCAAAGACCGGTCGCTGTCGTTCAAGCGGATGCGCGTCATGTTAGTGCCAGGTTCCTAGCCGGGACGGGTGAGAACCCCGGTAGAGGCCTATATTGTACTTTGATTACTTTCATCTAGATGGTGTCCAGAATAGCCTGTACTCTGGGCCGATCTGGGACATTAGATGGCATGGCCTTATGGATCGACGAATTCACTAAAGACGCGAGCCATCACGACATACCTAGCCGGCCACTATCGACGATAGACTTGTGCATGGTCAGCACTCTCGACCGGACGCGACGAGATATGTATGGAGGAGCCTTCGTAGTCGTATACGGACATGCGTACTGTACGTACAGTGTAGATGCGGCCGTGGCACAGGCAAGGGGGCTCATAACGGTTTGGGGACATTGGCGAGACTTGACGCCGGACACGTGTGAAACCGCCAACTGGAGGCTTCCGGTCTGCGTTGGTCGTTGGCGGGAGGGTGACGGCGTGTAACAAGACCAGACGTGGTGTCTCCGGGGGCCATACAGGCAATATTCGATGTCAGACGGCGATGTGTCTGGGACTCTGGGGGAAGTACACACAAAGCAGGACCAGGGCTGGAGGATGTCTGTTATCTGGAGCAGATTCCAGAAGCCGGAGCAGTGACGAATTCTGGACAAGAGTCAAGACAGCCAATTGCGAGGGAAGAACTGTCGAAACATCAGTCATTGCTCTGCGAAAGCTTCTAGAAAGTTGAATCGCGGAGCGGGCAGAAAGCCAAATATACACAGGGGTTCTCCCAGGACGGCCAGGACTCAGGAGTCCAGGATTCAGGCCAGGAAGCAGTGGACGGGAAAGACGACGCGAGGCCATGCAGGAAGAGGCAAGGCTTGCCCTCCCGCACGCGGTACCTGCAGCTCTCAGACGTGTGAGCGATTCAGCGGCGGAGGACGAAGACGAGGACGAAAGCTGGCTGCTACGGCTAAAGCATGGTGTGGTACTTGCAGCTGAGCAGCAGTCAGCGACCTTGATGTTGTTCAGCAGGGTTGGAGTGTGGTGAAATTGGGCCGGAGCTCTGGCAGATGCAACGGAGCCAACGGCCGGGTTGGATATTAAACGACCAGCGGCCACAGAACACGCTAAGCCGCTTCGGGCAACACACGAACCATCCAGCGACGGCTCCACCGTCCATCTGCACGACACGGGACTTGCAGACGAAGTCTTTCTCGCAGGCTCTCCTTCACCTCGCCCGTCCGCCGCACCACCTCGTCCTCGCCTCCCCCTTCCACGGCCTCCGCTGCGACGCCGACTGCGACTCCCAAGGTCCAGCGAGAGCGAGAGCGTCGGCCTGGCGAACAGTTGCACCGC